GATTTACAGAGTTATTACTCACAGATAGCTCCAGTAGTAGAACAAGTCACATGAACAGAACAGATTGATCAGGTGGGCAACAACACGTGACCTACACAAACACATAACAGATATACATTGAAACACACGCTCGGAAAACACTTAACTCATTTCTTTTCCATCTTGGTGTGTTTCTAATCCTTATCCTCATTATTATGTTTTAATTAAGGCTTAGGAATGCCTAAGATGCATTGACTCATTTCTTTTCCATCTTGGTGTGTTTCTAATCCTTATCCTTATTATTATGTTTTAATTAAGGCTTAGGAATGCCTAAGATGCAATGAGGATGCCAAAAACGTAATTTGAAACACTTAGTTAAATTTGCTAAAAATAGGGTCTCCGCTCAAGTGCAATTTTAGTTGTTCGAGTGGTCTGCAAAACTCTGCAAAAGTACTAGTTGCTTGATTTTTACGCTCGACAATCACTCTAGCCAAAGACTAAGTAAACGTGGGTTTGCTTGAGCGCACATTTTATCGCTCGAGCCATCGTGTAATTGTCTGCAAAACTTCTGGGAGTTTGAATTTTACACTCGAGCTCAACTTCCTACGCTCGAGCTAAGATTCAAAAATAAGGGTAGTCGCTCGAACGCAACTTGTTCCCCTTGAGCCAGCCCCCAAATTCTACAAAACTACTGAGAGCTCGTATTTTTGGCTCGAGCGCAAACTCCACCGCTTAAGCGAAGCCTGCGAATTATGAAATCTCAAGATTGCACTCCCAGTTTCAAAACTTGATTTCAAAGCACCAAAACACATCTTTTTGGGCCAAAACTTGAGAAACATTTGTAAACTCATAGGACTTCATTAATTGAAAGCTGTTTCGCCAAAATCAAGCCTAAAAGCAAATGAATTATTCAAAACCAAACTTGACATTTTGAAACCATAACATGCAAGCAATGACTTGAAATCTTAGCTTCCAAAACATGCACAAATAGAGTGTTTAAGTACAAAACCACAATGAGCTCGCATAATATAACAAAAAATAACTCTTACATGTAAGAATTTGTTGAAATCAAAACTCAAAATCCATAAATTATGCATGCATGTATGTTATGATCTTCTTTTCTACTTCTATAACTTACTTCATGCATTTCTTAGCTTAACACTCTTGAATTCATGCATTGACCAACTCAATTACAAGACTAAGGCTTGAGCTCTTACCTTAGGTGCTCAATTGTATTCTAGATGTTCAATTGATTGAGTTTCCAAGCCAAATTCTTCAACGTCCTCTAATTCTTTACAATTCTCAAGCTTGAATTCAACCTTTCTCTCTCTCTCTCTCTCTCTCTCTCTCCCCATATATATATATATATATATTTGAGCTTAAGAAGCTGATAGGAAATGTTTTTCTAAGCTTGCTTTCACATATTTATAGGTTAGATTAACTTAAGCTAATTAAATATGATTAGAGCTAAGCTAGTTCACTTTAATAATCATTTTATTCTAATTATTTGGTTCTGAATCGAAATCTAATTAAACTTACCATAAAATTTTAAAAATTCTAAAAAACCCATAAACGAAGTCAATTTCATGTTCGGATGCCGATAAGACTTTCAATTTGCATAATGAAACAGAAACATTGACAAATATTTCTATGACCGACAGATACAACAACATATAACACATATAACACACAATTAACACATGTTTCCATCATAATTACTTATTAAGCATTCTTAAGTAAGATTTATTAGCTAATCACAAGTCGAGGCTGTTACAGTATATATGTATATATGTGTAGATTTGTGTTTGTTTTGTAGATCTGTGTAGATCAAACCCAAAGCGCTCTCTCTCTCTTTCTCTCTCTCTCTCTCTCTTTTCAGATATGTGGGTAAGGGAGTGAACGTATATGAGAATTTCAATAAATCAATCCCAAAAGGCTCAGATCTATTCAGAAAATTGAACAAATATGTGTTAATTTGGACAAATAACACAAAATATTTGACCTGGTCATTCTTTCATCTCTCTTTTTCTTTGCTTTGCCTTTTTTTGTGTGGTTGTTATTGTTGATGATGATGATGATGATGATGATGATGATGAAATAGATTGCAATAGACCTTTTCTCTTTTATTTTATTTTATTTTATATGTTTAGTTCTCTTATTGAACAAATTTGTTTGGAAGCAAATTTGGTATTGTTATTGAACAGATCTGTTGTTTAAATTTTGAACATATAATAGCTTGGTGTATTTCAATAATAAATATTTGAACAGATAAAAAAGCAACAAATAGAATTCAAGAAAGAAATTTGAACAGATTATAAAATTTGGACAGATAGATTTAAATAGATAAGAAAAAAAATTGAATAGATAATAAAATTTAGACAAATATTTGAACAGATAAAGAAAAAAAAAACAAATAGTCATAAAAATAAACAGATAAAAATATATTTGACTAGATAGTTAAAAAAGTTAAACAGATAGCAAAAAACATTCAACCCATAGATTAAGGAGTACAATTAAAAATAAAATGTTTTCCAAAACAACAAAATGATTTCTCACCAAACTACTTCATAAAAAGTGGACCTCTCACTAATAAAAAATATTCATTGGACCTAATACTTTAAGCAATTGCTAGATTGGATTTTTCAATAATTTTCAATTATTTTTATATTTCATTATATCTATTTATATAACTAGCGGCAATGGTATCATTTTGGGCTGGTTTGGCAACTCCCATATAATCCAAAAAGTCAAAAAGTTACACAAAAACCAAAAAAGACATTACTATTCACAAATAAAAAATATTAAAAAAATATTTTATACATGTTTTTATAATACAAATCAGAGAGTGGGCGTGACAGCTATCCTTGTGATTGAGACCTGGCCATTATACACTTTTTTTTTGGGCAAAAAAAAAATTTCATAGGTAAAGTTACAAAGTTTGATGGTAATATTGGGCCCTTGGGAGCCCACTAAGGGTTCCGTTTTGATAATCCAAACCGTTCAATATGTAGAACTCGTCGAGTAATATATGCTTGTAAAAAATCATATTGATCGGATATCGTTAACTATAAGATCAAATCAGTTTTGTATAAACAAAACGGATGGTGTGATAGTTAACTATTGAAAAAAAACTAATATGATCATATAGCTATCGATATCCAATCAACGTGATTTTTTGTAGTCGTATAATATTCGACGAGTTGTACATATTGAATGGTTCAGATTATCAAAACAGAACCCTTAGTGGCCCCCACAGAGCGATCGTCACTACCCAAACACTTTGCCCCGAAGGAGGCAATTATTTTCTAAGCAGACATGCTGGGGTAGCTGCAGGGCAGCCGTACGACCAATCAAATTTCTTCCGCTACACACTTTATTTATTACATATTTTTTCGTAAAAAGATAAAAAGTTAACCTAAATATCCATCTTTTTTTCCTCAACTTTTTAGTTAAAAATAACAAAAAGTGCACTTATTTAGGACACCCCAACCCCTATTACTTGGTGAGTTACAAGAATTTTCATAAGATTAAATGGAAGATATGTTATCTAAACGAGACTTTCTAATAAATGCCCTACAAAAATAAGTCATCAATTTTTTTGACAACCAACGTGATAAATTAAATTAGTTAGACTTATCAAATGGATTTAAATTTCGTTATAGGTAAAATATAATAAATCAGTAATGTTATGCACACATAAAATCAAACACAAAAGCTGTTTCATCGAATGATTGGCCAGACGATTGGAAGATACCATGATAGTTGCGGTCGATAAATTTTGGTCAAGATGACAATCACGGTTGACACCATAGTCGGTCGTCCGAGCGGTCATCTAGATGATCGACAGAATACACAGTTTCTATACTAGAATATGTGTTCAATCTTCTATATGGCTACACTTTCTGATAATAAATGTCAAATAAAATAAATAATTTAAATTATAATTTAGACCATAGGCTCAAATAGCGGCCTCTAGACTTAGGCCTATTTTGAGAAGTAGGTTAAAAGCCACCTCCCAGCTTTTAACCCACTCCACTCTTTCACAAAAAAGAAAAAAAAAAAAAAAAAAAAAACACAGGCCTTGTTTGGTTTGTGTTTCTCAAAAAATTTTGGGAAAAATTCTCTACAAATAAGTTTTCAAAAGTAATCAAACCAAACAAATTTTCTCAAATTTTTTTTCCAAAACTTGTTTGGTTTACAAGTTTTCCAAACAAATCTTTCTCTCATACACATCAAATCAATCACTTTTTCCAAAACTCTCTCTCAAAATAATTTTTCAAAACGTCTTTCGAAAAAAAAAACCAAATCAAACAAATTTTCGTACTTTTTATCTCAAAACATGTTTCTCAAATGAGTAATGCTAGAGACCCCAAATATTCTACCAAAAGTTTTACCAAATGTCTCACATGGGTGTGGGACCCACACAATGTGGGTCCCATGTGGGTCCCACACCCATGTGAGACATTTGGTAAAACTTTTGGTAGAATTTTTGTTCTCAAATACAAACCAAATAAGCCCACAGCTTTTAACTATCTTTCCAAAACACCTCTTAGGATTATTTTGAAAAGATGGTTAAAGACCATCTTTAAGTTTTTAACCTATTTTAGGGATGGTTTGTGATGATCTAAATAATCGCATTTTTTGACTTGTTATGAAATATGAGTTAAGTATGAGTTGAGTTTAAAGTGATCTGGTAGAGAAGTAATGTGACTTAAATAAGATGATGTGACTTTTTGATTTTTTTAAGTTATGACAAATAAGACCTTAATCTTATCATCACTCACAATTTTTTATATATTATTTTAGTAAATTAAAAAAAAAAATTTATCCATTTTTTCAAAACCCACAGACTGGAAAAAAAAAAAAAAATTAGAAAATAGACAAGGAGGTGACGTATATTGTAAACTCTCTCGGTCGCTTGCTCTCTCCTCTTATAAAATCAAATCCGTTGCCTATTTCAGTTCAAAGTGAAGCAGTGTCAAAAGTGTGTAAAAAAAAAAAAAATAATAATAATAATAATTACAAAATAGACAAGGAGGTGACGTATATTGTAAGCTCTCTCGGTCGCTTGTTCTCTCCTCTTATAAAATCAAATCCGTTGCCTATTTCAGTTCAAAGCGAAGCAGTGTCAAAAGTGTGTAAAAGTAAATGCGAACTCGATTTCTGAGCATCGACTACCTCAACTCCGCCCCAATCCATGTCCTTCAAACTCTAGAATTCCTCCGCCTCCCACCGCCTCACCTTCCTCCTCCTTTCCAGACCTTCGAAGAAGAAGAACACCACCACCATCTTCTTCGCTGCTTCGATGACGTCCCAGCTCTGAGCCTCTCCCTCCATACCGATACGTTACCGATCGATAACGCTCTCTCTAAGTTCTTCTCCGACGTTGTTCCCAGCTTCATCCATCTCCAAACTGGAGATTTTTCGAATACTCATTCCTCTTCAGGAGATGCACGATTCGATAAGCGGAGAAACTTCAGTCCTCGAAGCAATGCTGAGGCAAAACCTCCCGAGGTAATTTTGTGAGATTGATTACATGCAGTTTAGAATTTGATCATTTGCTGCATTTGTTTTTTCCACTGTGAACACCAGTTTTTCTTTTTCTTTTTGTTAATTTTCCATAAATTTTGCTAACATTTTAGTTTTTGAAGCTTTGAGATTGATCAATCATAGTTTACTAAATTTAGGATATTTTTTATTCTATCGTGCGTGTAAATCAAGTCGTAGCAAATGCATGTTCACTTGTTCGTTTACATCAACATTTGAGTGATCTCTTGTGATTTTTTTGGCCTCCAATGCTGCTTTCATTTAATTTTCATCAAAAAATATGGAAGAAATTTCAATTTCAGTAGTAAGAAGATTTAATTTTCGTGAGGTAAGGTCGTGACTTTCCAATTCATAAGGTAAGTTTTAACTCTCAAGTTATTATTATTATTATTATTATTATTATTATTATTATTATTATTTATTTATTTATTTTTTAAACTTACAAAATTTAAAAGGCTTTGGCTGATTCAACTGTGGAATTTGAAAACTAATCATGCTTATTGAAGTATTCAGACCAACATTGGTGATATCTGAATGACATCAAATGTAGTTTTGAATTAGCTGTTTTTGATTTCTTCATAGCAATCTCAATCTCTCTCTCTCTCTCTCTCTCTCTCTCTCTCTCTCTCTCTCTCACGCGCGCATGCCTATCTGCGTTAAATGTCCTTCAAAATGTAAAACCAATGATAAATCATGGACAAAATATTCTGGTTGTGGTAGCATTGCAGCTCAACTCTGTCTTGTTTGAATTTCCTCTGTTTCTTGAGGGACCAAACAAAAGGCTAGTGCAATTTTTTTCACCCCTTCTCTTTTGCCTTAGGAGCTCTACCCTCCAGAATCTATTTGGTATGTTGTGTTGAAAGTATTTTTCCGTGCTAAATGTTTTTCCTTAGGGGAAAATGGACTTGGAGACAAGTAAATGAAATTTTGGTCTGAATCTTTGTGGATTCAATTCTAGTGACAGCAGTGTAATTTAGTGAGGAAAGATTTTGTTTAAGAAAGTTCCTTTTAGAGTATTTATTATGTTAACTTGTAGGAAGAATTGGAAGTTCTTTTTGAAGAGTAGGAAGTGAAGAGTGATAAATATTTGATCTGGAACCCATAGGTTGAGTTACCAAAAGCATCAACATGCTTTGATTCGGACTGTTAGCATTAGTTATATTCAAATGTGGTTTAGATCTTCATTAAAGTCTAGTTCATGTAATTGCAGGAGAAGAATGAGTCCATTTTTTATGGTAAGGAAGAAAATGGTTTTGAAGTGGTCGAATTCGAACTGCCAGAGCTGGATCTATTCTTGGTAAGAATGTCCTACTTTGGTTATGTATATGTTGTATCTATATGTCCTGAATGTAAATTATGTGTCGTGAAGTTTCTTATATAATCTATTCTATGGTTCTTGTAGGAAAATGCTTGCTTCTTTGAAGAAGAGAAGGTGCAACTTTTTGATGCAGTTGGAGAGGCTGATAATAATGTGGTAAAAGTTTAAATACTATGCCTGCTTGTGTTTACAATCAACATCTTTTGATTTCCTTAGCCACAGCTTTTGTGAGCGGCAAAAGAGCAACTCAAATATGGTGAAGCTTTTACCTTGTTATTGTCAACATTTTGATTACTATATGATCACAATGGTGGTGGTATGATGACACTGAACTTGAAGTATACATTTTTTAGGTGGTGGTATTATCACAATGTTTAAACAAGCAAGGTACCAAAACTGAAAAAAGAAAAAACGAAAAAGAGACAGCATTGTGAGAGAGGGAAAATGTCCAAAATAAAAAATATAAAATGAAGGACTTTAGGCATTAAATTTTTTTGGCTTGGACTTCTCATAAGATGTAATTTATTTGAAGGACTTTTGGCCAAAAATCCTTTATTCATTCAATTAGCAATTCGATGCACATATTTAAAAATCAAAATTGTGTAACAAAGATTCACACCAAAGTGAGTTGTGTTCTTTTTATAATAGATATATGGTTCGGTCATGTACAATGAAGACCTGTAGATGTAATGGTTAGGAAGAGTGATATGGTTAGCATAAATAGAAATTTTAGGGAAGGGGAACATCTAATTTGACATGGGATGTGATAATAAAAAAAATATGAATTTATTTAGTTTAATTGAGCATATAGACCTTGATAGAGCGAAATGGCGAATAAGAATTCATGTAACCAACCTCACTTGATGGGGACAACACAAGGCTTAGTTTGATTTGGTTTGGTTTGGTTATATCTGTATGCACCCTAAGCAAGTTAGTTTGACAGTAAATCTTTTACTTTCTTGTAGGACATGCTCAATCTAGTGCTTACACTGCACCATCCCATTGAGATTCTAGAATCATTTTATTCAGTTGATGATATTACTCCAGAGTACTGTATGGGGAAGAAGGCTTTTCTGTTGGAAGATGTTGCTTCTGATTATGATCAAATTCATCTCAATGCCAGCACATTCCCGCTTTTAGAAGTGGATGAGATTAGTCTAGGAATTTTCAGTAGCATATCTATGGAAGAGGAATTTCTACTTCTTGAAAATATTGAACCCCAAGTGTGCCCACAAAGAGGGGAAGTTATAGTTGATGGAAAGGAACTTTTGGGCTCTTTGGACATTGACATCTTAGAGTATCTTGCAGATCATTGTTTATCAAAGCAGTGCTTTGAATCTGTGCCACCATGCTCAAACTTTTGCCTAGAAACAGAATTAATTAGCGTACTCGAACTATCTTTTATTGAAGGAAAATCAGCATTTCATGGAGGAATACCAGATGATAATTCTATTTGGTCAGTGAGCCCAGTTAATTTTGAGGAATTCCAGTTCCTTGAATTTGACTCCTATCAGTTTCTGGAAGTCTTTTTCAATTCTGTAACTGTTTGTGAAGCAGAAACATGTGAACAGATGTTTTTAGAAGATTCCAACATCAGGAATTTTAATGAATTGATTGTTAGTCATGAGCTCACTCTGGTAGATGAGTCATTTAAATCATTGCCCATTCCTATTCTTTCTGAAAATGAAAAGATTAGGTCACCATTTGTGTTTGTTGAGGAAATGCTAGTTGCTTTGAAGCCACAGCCTTCTTCTGCATCTGATGGCATATATTTGGACTGGCATTTTTTGGAGGAAGATTATAGAAACTGTGAAAAGTACTCCTCTTGTTGGAAACAAGTTTTGGAGATAAATAATTACATTCTCAATTCTGATATGAAATGTCTTAATGATGGGATACTGATACTTGATATTGTTTTCTCTGGTGATACACCAAATGGGGCAAACATAGAAGATAACAAGGAAACACTAAATATACTGTCTGGTGGCATTTCGACAGTAAGTGTGTGTCTTAATGACTATGCTTCAGGTAAGTTGTTGAATGATGGATGTCAAAAACATGGAAATGGAGAAGTCTTATCTGACATCAATGCTGATAGAGTTTCTACATTAGGTGAATCAATAACACCGTTTAATGATCATAGTTTTTCCTTTAATCCTCGGGAGGTTATGACACGGGGAAATTCTAAACCTGCAGTCAAGGCATTTGATGGTAATACTATGTTTCCTGCAGTTTCATCTACTGACCAAATTGCACCAGGTGCTACCACCACAGTACAATTTCAGCAGTGGGAGGTCAAGTTGCATCAGGTTAAGTTGTCTGATAATATTCTGGAACTCATTGATAACTTCCAAAAGAACTATCTAGCTATCTTGAAGAGTGACATAGAGCTGACAAAGATACAGCATTCATGTCTGGATATGAACGATACTGAATTGCTCAGGCTTCCAACGGAAAAGCTGATGGACTGCATTAAAAAAGCAAATTTCCGAGGAACTTCTTTGGCTCATGGTGATGATAGTACTATGGCATTAGTTACTCTCTGTGCGATTAAACAGATGGCTTGGTACTTGTGTTACTATGGCATCCATACAACGTATCTATATGTGGATAAGCTATGTAGAACTCTTGATTGGTTAAAATCTAAAATAAGTTTTCTCCAGACCATAATTGAAGATATGCATGGGAAGGCTGAGAGAGATATAACTGCATCTCATCCATCACTGTCTGTGATCCAGGCTATTCTGCAATCTAACATTAATGATTACAGTTTGAAAGTATTGATTGTGGCTGAGCAAGTTTTCTGGTGGCCATTGAAGAGGCTGCTAACTTCCATGCAGATATCCTACAACGAGCAACAAAGTTTTTTCACACATTCCAGTAAAAAAGATCTGTGTTACAGCAATAAGTTCATAGATACTAAAGCAGATGTGCTGCATTCAGATTGCTGTTTAATATCTAATGAGTAAGTTTTCAAGTCTCCTAGATGTATTTTCCGATGAATGATTTGATCTAGCATGCAAATACAACTTACCCCAGGGCTGATTTGATGATGTACATTTTAGGGGATATTCGTTGCAAATTTACTATTCCCAGTTCATTCCTTCTCTAACTTTTTCAGTTCAAAATACGGTTAGATACTTGCCAATTTTGTGCCAAGATACGAATAATTCTAGGAACACAAGACAGACAGCACTTAATGTTGCCAGTTTTTCAATTGGTTCCCTGCAATAGCCACTGGGTTCAGGGTTCTATCAGAGCTTGCAATTCAAAAGGAAAGAAAAACCAGTGATGTAGATATTTATGTACATTGTACGTCATGGCTCTGGTTGGTTCTATTACGTCATCTTATCAAGTGACTAAGTACTATTCTCTCAAGAGCACATTGGCATACTAGTAATAAAATAAAAAGTCCTAAAATTATAATTGTATAAGATATATTATCCTGCATACGCGCTTCTGATTAGTTATATGCACTGAATATTTTTGGTGACCTTATGTTAATGTATTATGTTGATTAAAAATGAAATATTTTGAAAATAAATATATATAAAATTTATACCAAAACAATAAATTACAGAGATGCAACAACATGCATGTTTTGGTTTCCTTGTATGCATAAATTACAAGTATGAATTTTCCCTTATTGTGCAACATATTTAGCCACTTGCTATTGTAGACGTTGATGCATTTGGTCATCTGTAATCCTAGCTGGTAGAATTAACTACTTGTACAACGGTTTTCTAAACAATCAGATGTTTCAAATTATGCAATCATGTTCACTAAAAAATGACCCGAATTTTCAATTTGCTGTCTAATAATCACATGTTCTTATTTTTGAGTAGTTTAATTTTATGTTTATCCAAACGATTCCAATTGTTTATGGTTGTCTAGAAATTGTACCTTTATTATTATTATTTTTAAATATTAGTAGAGAAGTATTCCTCTCTTTTTACCATTGTACATATTTTCACACGTTTACTTCTTCAAAACACGTAGCATATTACAAAAAGTAAAAACTATTTTTGAAACCCAAGCCAAGTAGAACCACCTGTTATACTGCAACATGATTCCTTGTATGCATAGTGACCATAATCCTGCTGCGCACTGGTTCACAGTCAAAAGCAGTTCTGCATTTAAGGCCTTTTATACTTAAATGTGTGTTTTGGTTTTATTATATCATTAGTAAACTTTAAATTACTATACTCGGAGGCTTTTTTCTTCTGTTTTAGTTTTCTATGAATTTTTAACAGGTTTTTAATCAGCCAGTAATAATACTTTCTACAATTTATCTTCAAGGCATGTTTCTGCATCATTTCCTTTTGAGAAATTCAGCATGATCTTGGAATATGGAGGTTCATGCAGCTCATCTAGAGTATCCACGATTTCCCCCAATCCAGTTGGTTTTCCCTGTCTTCATTTCCTCAAGGTGGAACTGGAGGACTCTAGTGCTCCCAAAGCACTTTGTGAAGGTGTTGGCATGACCCAGAATATTGGATTTACAATGGCAAGTCCCTTTCCCTAATAATGAGCTATGTTGCTCTTCTCTTGTTTGAAGTTGAACTGTCAGTAGAGTAACTGTCCTTATGTTGTTTTTTGAAGAAAAAAATATGATGTAATTGTCCTGGAAGGAAATACATGCATGGATCTTCATACTATGTTCTACTGCTTTATTTCAACTGGAATATGATGAGTCTGATATGTTTGTTTGTAATCGCTTCTTACTAAATATGATGAAATCTAGCCTTAAAGTGAAGGTCGATTGAATTCTAAATAACTGAAGAAGTAAACAAACTTAAAAAAGGATTATTATGAAATTCATAGCTTTGATATCACTGTGCTGGAGCAATAAATCTTTTTTCTTTAGCTTGTCTTTTACTTGATACAATAGAGATTGATATTTTATTTTCCTTTCTTTTCTGTCCTTCATGACATACAAATAGCAATTATATAATTAAAAATTGTTAAGGGATACACACCTCAACATGGCTTTCTTCAATACTCTGTTTTCCTTGCAGATTATTCCTAAATCTTCCAGGCCATTCTGGAAATTACTCTTGCTTTTTTTGTTTACTGACAGGATTTTGTTCTCAAAGATATAATGACCAATGTAACACGTATTCCCTTACAATTGAAAGTACTAGTAATATCAGTAGACTTGAGAGGTAGAAGCAAGAGAAACTCCTGGGGAATTTTAGGGGTGGTTGATTGTTTCAAGAAGTTAAATTTTTGGTGAATTCATCACTTCTGATTAGACACTTTTGGAGAAGCTTCAAGTTTGAGATATTAGGAGTAGAGCTGCAATCATTCCAACAGCAAACTAATGTTGGTGAGTTTGTTACTCCCACTTAGGGAATGAGTTGGAGAACTTTTGGCAACTCAGCACCTTCAATAAAGATATATTTTCTACTCTTATTCTGTTCAAAGGCCCAAACGTAAATTTGGATGTTTTGCCATTTCATGATTGTTATCATACACCAGCTGTCTTTATTTCATGTTACAATTTGTTTATCACTATAGACTGTCATATATAAATAAACACTCATCAGTTTGCACTCATATTGTAAAGCTTTATACATCTCTGCTGAGATTTAACTATATGCGAGAAAAGTGATCATCATTCTGACCTGATAACTAGCAGAAGTTGGAAGAACTGTTAAACTTTGTACCTCACAAGGGAAAGTACGATATTTTGGAGAAGCTTCAAGTTTGAGATATTAGGAGTAGAGCTGCAATCATTCCAACAGCAAACTAATGTTGGTGAGTTTGTTACTCCCAGTTAGGGAATGAGTTGGAGAACTTTTGGCAACTCAGCACCTTAAATAAAGATATATTTTCTACTCTTATTCTGTTCAAAGGCCCAAACGTAAATTTGGATGTTTTGCCATTTCATGATAGTTATCATACACCAGCTGTCTTTATTTCATGTTACAATTTATTTATCACTATAGACTGTCATATATAAATAAACACTCATCAGTTTGCACTCATATTGTAAAGCTTTATACATCTCTGCTGAGATTTAACTATATGCGAGAAAAGTGATCATCATTCTGACCTGATAACTAGCAGAAGTTGGAAGAACTGTTAAACTTTGTACCTCACAAGGGAAAGTACGATATGGGATCTTCAGGAGCTGCAGATGACGTAAAGGCTTTCTGTATGCCTCTACCAGTTCCATGTGCACCATTGACTGTGGAACCAAAGCAAATCCCTACAAACATGCTGTGTTTTCCAGACACAGTCATTATAGTCAACACACAGAATTCTGATAAAGAAATGATAATTTCCAGGAGAAGCACATACCAAAGAATTCTTGCAATGGAGAAACAAGGAGTACAAATTGTAGAGCGTGATTTAAAACTTCCTGTGGATGTTATAATTAGTGCTGCAATTTGCTTGGTATGGTATGATTGCAGAAACGTTGGAAAGAAAGCAACTGCTCCTGATGCAGCTTCTTCATGCTTATCCTTGTGCATTGAAAATATTGCGACCAATGTTTTGACCTCACTAAGTTTTGCTTTCAGCTGCTGCATTCTGGTAATTTCCAATGAGACTCAAGCTATTTAAGTTTTGTTTTACAACTGCTTTTATGGCGAGAGAATGTTGCTTCTTTGGGAATATTTTGTTTTTGACCATTTCTAGTAGGCACTCCTTTGAGAAAGATACAAGAAATTTTCCAATTTCTACAAGGTTGTTGGCGTGATTGCATTTTTTCTGTGGGAAGGTCAACCTATCCCATTGCTTTCATAGGAATTTTGGGAAGGTAATGGACTAAGCAATATGTACGAGAATCATTAAATATCATTGGGTCTCACTGCTATATAGCAGTTATGTTACATGGACTCTTCTAAATGTATGAATGAAGTACCCACGTCGGACACTCAACAATTGGATAAGGGTATCGATATGTATACTTGGATATTTACCCAACAAGCATATTTAGTAGTTCATAAAACGATGCATAAAACTTCAATATTATACAGAACATGCTCCAAGACACCTTGAAAACCTTACCCCCAAAAAAAAGTATAACAAGAAATATGAATATTTGTTGTGCTCCTGTGTCTTTGGACTAGGAATTAGATGAATTCGATACATTGACCCAAAACCGCACTCGACACCCGTACCTAAGTCCATGTAGCATAGTATAACAGTCATACTGACTGGATATTGGTGATACTGATGGAATGCTGTTATTGGGTAATACGTAGCAACGTATTGCAGGCTCAAACAAGCTTGACTCTCTCTCAAATTTCAGGCTTCTAAGCTGTCTTGATAATGCAAATACATATTGTCTCTCACATCACAGTTGTTCTGCATAAACTCTTCTAAAGTATTGAAGAGATCTGAAAATTTTGATGTGATGAGAGAGGAGGAGGGGTGATTTATTCCTAATATAGTTTTCAAGCTGAACATGGTTGTTAGATATTTGGACTTACACTTTGTATGGAGTGATTTGGAGATTGGTTTATAAGGTTCTGATTTTTTGTTTGATATTTTCCTGTGTTTATTGAAATTTCATGCTTTTCTCTTGTTCTTTTCCTTTTTTTCCCCGTAATGGAAATTTCAAATGTTGATGCTAGTTACAGTTGAATCAAGTTTATGTTTCTCCTCAAATGTAAATCATTGGTAAACTTTTCATCGTATGAAAATTTTAATTATGCAATTGTAGATGCAAATGTATCATTTACAAGATATTACTAGATCCAAAATAGATTGATGACTCTAAAATATGCTCTTGATTATCATACTGGTGTTGATAATTGTATTGTAATGAATGAATAGTGTGTCATTAGATAAGTTGTAGATGGTTTAAGGATATGGAAGGATATCTTATATATTATGCACTCATTCTTTTTCTTATTTCTTGGGATCAAACATGTGTTCTTTTTTAGCACCAGTTTGGTAGGAATGATGGAGTTTTGTTTACTAAGTTATCTCATGACTGATAGACTGAGATAGAAGTTGCATGTTAATTACTTTCGTTCTTAACATATAAGAGAAATTATTACTTATCATATGTATTTTAAGATAATTATTAATTACTAAGTTATCTCACAATCGATAGACTGAGATAGAAGTTGCATGTTAATTACTTTTGTTCTTAACAAAGCAAATTGGCTAATGCTGATTGCGAAACACATGATTGTTGAACATGTAATTGATATGCTACATAATGTAATGCAAATATGAAATAAGAAATTCATATCAGCATTTTTTTTAAAAATTCCGTTTCAAATATTTTTCTTCTTGGTCATATGTTTGAAAACTGCATATTATCTAGGATTGAGAGTTTATTTGCTTTTCACAATTCCTATCAATCTGGAAAATGATAAACAAGGGTATCAGTCCGCCACTGACATAATTTATTAACATTTTTTTTTAACTTAACAGATCTCTTAAGTACTTGTGTGCATATTTTACTCTCAAATTTTCAGATGATGTTATTTTGAATGGTTTTTAGTTAATTCTATCCATCACCATTCATAATTACTCTCTTTGGTGGGTTTGATATTGACCTTCACTTTTCCAACAGAAACTTGTGGTGAGTATCAACCCCTCTTTGATTGTTGCACACATTAATTATTGATGAGGGTATGTTACATGGACTTAGGTATGAGTATTGGGTATGGGTGTGTGTCTAAGCATAAGACCTTCATAAACTTAAACACAAGGTCCATGTATATATGAATATTATTAATTGTTTTACCTTAATCAATCACTGGCCAAATAACTATTCCAAAAGTCCTAAAAAGCTAAGAAGATTAAAATCAGAAACATGTTAACATTCATGAAAACCAGTAATCTCAGTGAATTTTGTGAATTATGAGTTTTTCTTATAATGCTCACATAGTGCTATCATGTATATATGAGTACTTTGTTGAACAGTTTGTTTTTTGAACCCATTTCCTAACAACTTAAGGTGTTGGGACTAGTGGTGATCTAACATGGTATCATATCTCAATTTTTTTGGGGTTTTGGGGGGGGGGGGGGGGGGGTTTTTGAGTTTGTCTCTCTATTTGCATTTGGTCACTGTTTGCATTCTTTGTTCTCTATATATATGGATGTTTGTATCTCCATGTGTAAGATGGGGTTGCACGTGAGAGTGTGTGTTGAATAGCTTGATATAACATTGTTGGGTTGATTTTCTAACAGCTTAAGTTTTTGGGACTAGTGGTGATCTAACATACTTCTCATGAAGTTATGGCATATATTTAGCGGATAAAGTAGAAGGGCTCTATGAAAGTGCTCTGTTTCCTTGGTTTTCTGTGCAGCCTGTTTGAGTTTAGGGTTAAGGTTATGCTGAGTTAGGATGCTATGCTGTGATTTACAGTTTCATTTACTGCATGGGTAGACACTGACACCATGAGTGCATATCTGATCATCGCGGTTCAGTTTAAATTCTTCATCATTTTGTATATTGGAGGTCAGGTTAGGCTGATCAGAAGATGAGTTTCAGCAGCAGTAATGATGTATTTATTCCCTTGGGAACTAATTTAAGGCCCTAAATTGAACAATTTGGCTTCAGAAAATGAGAGGAGGAAAAAAAAAATTACTTAAAAGGTTTTGCTTATTGAATTGTGCCAATCTGATATACTTAATTAGTTCAGGATGTGTTAACAATGTTGAATACCTATCAAAAAAAAAATGTTGAAGTTTCCATTATTGTAATGTCAGTTCATTTCTCATTTAATAAGCTTATTTTTTATGAGATCCTTTTCTTGTTCACAAAACTATCAATTTGTAGTCCTTTTCTCAGGTTTTTGAGGGGGAAAGCAGTTTCCTTTCTGCCGTAATGGAATCATCAGATGAACTGTATGCTGCAGCAGCCAGCTTGAGAATTGATCTGCAACTCTTTTGCTCATATTCATCTGAATTGACTGAGGAAATTATATTGAGCTGCATTGGACGTGCCTTTAAGTTAACTAGACGCACTTATCCTAAAATGCCAGAATCAGAAACTCTTGGAGAATCTTTTCTTACAGCATTTCCATCAATTAATCCACTCTCTGCTCATGCAATACTGTCATCGGGAGGCATTCTTGGGGAGTTTCTTGAGTGGTCACATGAGCGCAGGATTCATGAAATCCAGAAATATCATGTTCCTGATGAAAGTGTGAGTTTATTAAGTACTTTGTGCAGATATGGGGAGCGGGAGGATTCTAGATCTGCAATGACTGATTGCTCTTCTTCTGTATCTTCTGCTACTGACTCTGAACATTACTATTGCAAAATTGACCCTGTGAGGAAGAAAGGAAAATACATCGGGAGTCCTCAAAAATTTGACATACCAATGGATGACTTATTTCATTTTGAGCTGTTAAAACAATCTCCTGATGACAGCCAGAATCATCTGAGAGTGTCCAACCCACGTGATACTTGGATTTCAGGTGCGAAGGATATGTTTGATGAGATTGAGAAGCCTGGTGTATCTTTCAGTGATAAATTGTTTACTGAAAAACAGGGTTCAGGTCCTTCAGGTGTTGTTGCGATGATGAATCCTTCCAAAGTGCGCAAGCAGCTTGATTCTCGATTATCAAGAGGGACTGTGATATCAAATGGGATCAAACAGCCCGGTTGGTCTTTGGATAATAAGTTTTTTGGTCCAGAAGAGGCACTTGATATGGCTATGATGAACAAATTGGATTGTGGCCTTAACAATAATTCTGCAAATCTGTGGGAGGACTTAAAAGGTGAGGTTATTGACATTGGTGATAGTTTTTCAGAAGACAATGACTTCTCTTCTATTTCAAACTCGGAGGATCTCTCATGTTTGGTGCCTGTGACAGATAAAGATCCTGCGGCAGGAAACTTTAGAACTGCAAGAAAATTGTCGTTTAGTAGGAGCTCCCTTCCTACTTTTCCCACTGCTGTTGAGATTAGCTCCAACTCCGATGTTCAAGTTTCTTCAAAAGATCATGGACAAAGTTTGAGAGAAGGAACTAATATACCACATGGTGGAACAACCCTTTCAAATGCCATTCACTATGCTCAACCACAGCAAGGATCGCCTTGGACGGTAGAGTTTCTTAATAGAATAAGGGAAAAGAGCAGATTGCGACAGCAGTCCCTTCCACATGACATGTCGCCTCATTGTTTCGCATATTCTGGGAATATATCAAAGGTTACTAAGAGAAAAAGTCCGTCTATTCTTGACTTTTACAAGTATCAAGGAGGCAGCACTCCCAGGAAAATCATTGAACGGAAGAGGCAAAGGCTATCTACAGAACCATCAACTTCATCAAAGAATAAGAAGACCTCAACATCCTCTGTTCGAGCATGGACTCCACTTGATAAGAGAGCAAGGCGGGTGTGTGAAGTACTATTTCATATGAGAATTCTATTTTTTATTGCATTGAACTTATTCATATGTATATATATTTAATTTTTTTGTTTTAAGGAAAACTTCACATTTAATTAACTGCAGGTACTGTCCTTCTCAACGGGTGGAGGTGGGGGCCAAAGTAAGCTGGTCTGGAGTGATAGAGATGCTCACACTATGGACAGAAGAAGATTTCACCACACAGCTTGAAATAGCAGAATGGTTGGCATGACATGTATGAAACTAGTATCATTTTTTTTTTCTTTACATGCATTGGTTTTTAGATGTTAATAACATTGTACCTAGGGGTCATCAACTCAAAACTTAATCGAATCGTGGTTTCTCTATGCAGAGTGGTCGTGGTCTTCAAGAGACATCTGCTCCCTGGTTTGGTCACAGACAAGTTTCACTTATGCACAAAAAAATAAAAATAAATAAATAAATAAATGAAATAAAAGAATGTGATGACAAATTTTGTTACTGATGAACAACAAACACAAGGGAAAGAATGTTTTAACAAAAAGTGTTACTGATGGGGGGGTTTGTTTTCATTGACAGCAACTCTGTTGGAATTGGCTTGTATAGAAAGTTATATCATGATTGAGAGTTGTTCGTGCTTCTTCAACTTTGTTTCTGAAAACTCAATCTGAAAAGGGAATAGACTGCCTTTTCCCTCACTATATAAGATTGGGAGTTCAATTCTATGTTTCATGTGTAGTGTAAATGAAACCAAAATTGTGAAATTAATGAAGACGATTCTGATCCTAAGTTTGGAGGTACCTGATGCCCTAGGTGGCCCATTTTGGTGGGTTCAACCTTCAAATGGATTGCTGGACTAAGAGGGTAGGGAACTGGAGGTTGCTGGGCTCAGGTGAATCAAATTTGTAGATAGGATCTCAACCTCTGATCGGTGACCCTATCTTCGGTCTTCTTAGCTCTCTTCTTCCTCCTAAAACTTGAACAAAGAGTGCCAAAACCCAGGACTACATTCGAATGTGATTTGTTCATACAGGTGGATGCATGTTTTGTTGTTGATAGTGCAAAGATATAACAAAGCTACCCCCAAAAAAACTCTTTAAAAATTCACTAAATACTATATTATAAATTTAGTACATTTTGTATTTTTTTTGTATTTATTGAATTTTTAATAGATTTCTTTACAAATATTTATTTTGTAAGTACATTTATATTTATATTAGTTGCATCTAAAAATTTTAAAAAAAATAATTAAAATATAAATATGAAACATGAAAAGATTCAAAAATTGTTTTTGCAAATTCAAAACCAAATGAATTTTCCAATCACAATAATATGATCTTTTCCTGTGTCCATCAATTAAAAGGGTTAGATCTTTGCACTATTTTGCATTTCATCCACTAACCATCTGGAATAGGTAAAGGCTGCGATCTTCCTATTCCCAGCATGACTTTATGATCAATATGGTAGGAAAGCACACAAATTATTTATAAAAAAAAAACGTCGTATTAATTTGATAATCATAATTATAATCATATGATTTCATTAAATTTATCGTCAAAAAATGGACGACGAGCATAGAACAGCAACAATTAAGGCAATGGTTAGATGTATTGCTACAGAAACAGGAAGTGTACTGGGCCCAGAGAGCAAAACATAAATGGATACAGCTAGGAGACAAACACTAAGAATGGAGGATGGCACTTTTTGTTCGGACCCGGTGGCTATTCAACAGGCTTTTCTGAATCATTTGAAGACGTTTAACAACTCAAACGGTTCAGGCCCAGGTACTACAAACCATTTTTCTTACCCAGAAATTTTTCAATTACTATCTGTCATTAATTGTAAATTAACTGAGGAACACAGAGAATTGTTAAACTCTCCTTCTGTGGCCCAAGAAGTTAAAGAAGCTGTGTTTTTCATGGGAGGGCTTAAAGCACCGAGTCCAAATGGTATGATTGCGGCTTTTTTCTTCATTCTGGTACTATGCTTAAAGAACTGCACCGTACTTTTATAGCCATTATTCCTAAGAAAAAATTGCCCAAATCGGTTAGTGACTTTCGTCCCTTTAGTCTTTGTAATGTTATTTACAAAACAACAATGATAAAAGAGTTTTAATTTTGGAGTTCTAAGAGAGCTTTAATGATATGATAGGAGGAAAAAAATAAAAAACAAAAACATGGGTCTCACTCCTTACCACATTACTAAAGTTCTTTTTAAAGTTTCAAAATTAGAATTTTCAATCTTTATTCTTTAGAAAATTATTGCTAAAGTCCTGGCTAACAGGTTGAAAAGAATCCTCCTTGTGTTAATTCATCCATCCCAAAATGCTTTTGTGTCACGGAGGATAATCTCTGATGATATTCTTGTGGCCCATGAATTATTGGAGTTCATTAGAAAAAGTAAGAAGTTTTTTGCACTTAAATTAGACATGAATAAGGCTTATGATTTGGTGAGTTGGGAATTTCTTTGCAAAATTATGGAGGTGATGGGGTTTAGTCCACATTAGATTCGACTGATTTATCAATGTATCTCGTTTGTTTCTTTTTCGATCTTGGTTCCAAGATATCAGAATGGTTTTAGCCAAAATGTGGATTGAGACAAGGTGACCCTCTGTCTCTTTATCTTTTCATCCTGGTCACTCAACCTTTCTCAATGGGGTTAGATTCTCTTGCATCCCAAGGAATGTATAGGGGAATTTCTATTTGCCATAATGCACCGGTTATCTCTCATTTGTTTTTTTTTTGGGTGAATAAATTTCTCTCATTTGTTGTTTGTAGAGGATTGCTTGTTTTTTTTATGCCTTTCAACCCAAATGGCTTTTGAAATGGTTTATGGAGGCATTTTGCCATCAAACTGGTCTTAGGATTAATTCCTACATATCTAATCTTTTTGTCAGTCCAAATATGGGTGGCCAATATAGAACTCTTCTTAGCAAGTGTTTGGGGATTAAATTGGTTGAGAAACATGGGATTTATCTGGGTGCTGTTCTTCAGTTCTAGAAAGGTAGATCTGTTCAGCAGTGTAATCCAAAAACTCAAGTCTAAATTGTTGGGCTGGAAACGGAGTCTTCATCTTTTGCAGGGAGGTGCGTGTTAGTAAAGCACTCGCTTCTTTCAATTCCTCCCCACTTACTTTCAGTGTTCAAAGCACCAGTGTATTTTATCTATCAAATTCGTAGTATGGTTGGGAATTTTCTTTCGAAACGTTTTAGGGATTCTGGGATAGTTTGGAAAGACTGGGATAGTTTGTGTATCCCTAAGAATTTGGGAGGACTTGGTTTCGGAGATCCTGGTTTGTTCAATCAATCTCTGTTAACAAAGGTGGCTTGGAGGATTCTTCAAGAACCTCAGTCTCTCATTAGTAGACTCTATATCGCAAAGCATTGTTAGAAGAGTTCTTTCTTGGAAATTAAACCTAAGTCAGGTTGCTCATGGGGCTGGAGAAGCGTTCTTTGGAGGAGGGATCTCCTTAAGAAAGGTTTATTTTGGGTTTTTGGGAATGAATTGAGGGTTTTTGGGGTAGGGAATTTGTTTAGTACTTTTAAGGTTGCTTGCTTAATCTCTTTCGATACTAAATCTTGGCATGAACCTCTAATCCGAGTCCATTTTTCAGAGGACATGGTTAACCATATAGTCAATGTAGACATTCCTCAAGTTGATAAACATGATCATCTAGATTGGAAATTAGCTAAACACGGATAATTATTCAGTTAAGTCAGGTTACTTCCTAGCCATGAAAGAGTGACAACTGATGTCCCATTCCGTAGGAGAGGGTAGTATGGAGAGTTGGAAGAAACTTTGGATGTTGAATCTGCCTCCTAAGTGGGTTCTTTTTGTTTGGAAGCTTCTGCACATAATCCTTCTAGTACGAAGTTTGCTCGTTAACCTGGATGTGCCCCCAGAATCAACTTGCCCAAGATGCGGTGTTGAAGAGGAAACATTAGAATGCATTTTCTGTAAACACCTGGCGTGGATCTAGTCTTGGCCTTAACTTTGATGTAGGTATGGACAGACTGGTTACTGATTGGCTTGAATGTGGTTCCATTAGGCGCCAAATGATGAAACAATTAGGGAGTATCAAAATCTTGTAGGGCATTTGTCTTTATAGAAATAAAGCTTCCTTTGAAAATGTGCTTGATCATACATCCAATGTGTTGGAAAATATTAAGTTGATGAAGTGAGAATATAATCAAAACAAAATATTAGACATCTCTATCCTAGCACAAAGTAATAGAATTTCAGATGATGATTATTAGATTTGTCGTTTCTAGTAACTAATTTTGAAAATTGGTATCCACATTCCTATTTTGGCAGATTCATAATTGATGGGGCATGTTCCAAATAGGCATCTAAGGCAGCAGCGACATGGGTAGCACTGGACAGCGAAGGGAATCAACTTGTGTGGCAGAAAGTTTCCTTCGTGTTTTCCAGTGCATTGGTTGTTGATGCTAGGGCCTGTTTCGAAGTCCTCAAGTGGTGTGTAAAGACTTGTGACAACCCCATTCCGTATTCTAAAGATTAAGTCGTAATTATACTTGTGATTATATGCTTTATGTGATTTTGGATGCTAATCATGTGATTATGTATGTTTTTGAGTTCATATCTGTTCATCTTAGGAAAATCTGTTTTGTATTCTATAATAAACTGAAACTGAGGGCTGTAAAGGCGACATAAATCAAAATTGATTGTACCATTCTGATTAGCATAATTTTTAGAGCCTATGGTGAAATTTAATTAAAAACCGATTCAAATTAAATTAATTAGATTAAATTGATTAGAACTAAGTGGAGATGATTGGCCTTAATCAAACTTGATCAAACTAAGCTAAATACCATATATATATATATATATATATGCGCTAAACACACTTTGAGCTCATAAAACCTTACAAAACTTGCTGAGATAGCATATATATATATAGAGAGAGAGAGAGAGGGGGATAGAATTCAAGAGAGAAAGGAGGAAAACTTAAGAATTAGCTCAAGGAAATTGAAGATTTTTGAAGAACAACTCAAGCTCTTACTAATTGAGCTATATTAAAGCTCCTAGGTGAGTGCTTGAACCATAATTCATGAATTTGAGTCACTTAATTGTAGATTCAAGGTGAATATGTAATTAAGTATACGAATTGAGCTAAGATTGTGAGAATTGAGATCAATTTGCACATGCATGCATGAATTCGTTATAAAATCTCATTGTAGAGGATGAATAATATAATCCATGTGGAATTGAGAATTGTTTGACACATGAATACATGAATTGTTATGTTTTGAAGTTCAATTTTAAGTTCAAAAGCTTGTAGATGCAAGGTATAAAACATTGTTTTTCAAATATGAAGTTCATGGCTTAAATTTCGTTCAATTCATGGACTTTTGAGTTATGGGTTAAAGTTATCCTTAAATGTGTTTTTGGGAGTGTTTATACACAAATGAACAAGACATGCGTGAGTTTAGAACCTTGAATGTGAGTTTGAAGCTCAAAACAGAATTCAGGAAATTCCAGGAATTCAATAGACCGGTCAAGCGACCAAAAGGTGGCTCGAGCACACATTTCGAGCATCCAATATTTTACAAACATTGGAGGTTGACTTGAGCGACCGAAAGACTCCTCAAGCAACCACCCTTTATTTTCAGTTTTGGCTCGAGCTACCAAGAAGTTGGCTCGAACGTAAAATGAGAGCATCCAGTAGTTTTGCAAACTGAGGGGTTCGTTTAAGCAACCAAT